TGCCCCCCGGCCCGACAACAAGCACTCCCCGGAGAAGACGTCAACCCGTGCGCGCGTTCACGCCGCTGCTTCGGATCTTCCCGCTAAACCGAAGTAATACTTCTGGGGGCTGAAAGAGAATGTGGACTCGCTCGAGGCGGCGAAGCTTTTGTCGAATTTTTCTCGAGTATCCGGCTGAGCGTCGTGACGCTGCCCTGCGGGAGATATGCCCCTCCCCCGCCCCGCCGCTCCTGACCTTCCAGCGGGCGGTGCAGTGTCATGTCCGCCCCCTGCCGGCCTGCCGGAGCCCGCTGAGCGACCGCCCCCAGGGCCTACCTGATCATGCCACGGCCGAGCATCCACCGCCGCCGCCCCCGCCTCGGTCACGGCGCCACCGGGGCACTGCTACTCGCGTAGACTAGCCGCCGAGCTCTTTACCACACAATTAAATTAAGTGTGAGACCGTTATACTTTAGCTAGTGTGGGCCATTCATTACCTAGTGGATGACTAGTGCCTCACATGGGCTAATGCGCTAAAACGACCCTCGTTAACATAAGCTTGCTCCTGCTGTTCGGAGAAGTAGGAATTTTCCCTCAATTATTTGATGGAACGACCTCAAAATCTGAGGGCTTCTCCTAAAATTAAATGAGAGTTGCTCAATGCTTTCCCTTTCTCCTCAAAATAAACAATGCTTTTACCGTGTAGGGCGCAGGGCCCGACAGATAAAGCGCGCAGCTTATTAGGAACGCCACTTTTACAAATGAATAGTCCCATTGTCACTCCACAGAATTTGATTGTGGACCCAGAAGAGCCAGAATTGTTGGCAGTGCTGCTGCCGAGGCTGTTACACCGGCCGCTGCCGTTCGCTCGCCGTGCTATCGTCGGCGACGGCCCGGGCCCGGCCCTCGACACGGCCAGTGCCGCGGGAGCGCGAATCGCACGCGTTCCGCACGCGTCTCGCACGCGTCTCGAGGGCGGGCGCGAGCACGGCCGGGCGGCGCTGTAGGCGGCGCGCCCACGCACACGACCACGACACGCGTCGCGTTGCATTGGACTCGGTCTCGCCCGATAGCGATCCAGGTGACGGTCGTTAGACCGCTGCGGTCTTCGCGATGTCGAGTTTGTCGTCGATATGCGGGCGGCGAGGTGGCGGCGGCGATATGGCCCACCCTCCCCCCACCTCCGCCCACGCGGATCAGTGTCGAGCCGGCCGCCAAGCCGGTCGCACACCCGCCGCGCGCCACCGCCCTATACAGGAACAGCCGTTCGGTAACGACAACAAGGCGGCTTACGGCCTCAGCAAGTTCTGCCATTTCGCACTCTATTTTCTGTACGCTCTCATGGTCTTTGTATAGCCCCGTGAAGTCAGTAGTGGTCTAACAGCCAGAACGCCGTTTGTTTTGGGGTATTTTGATTGGCTGTAACCAACTTGAAGCCAATTTCGGACGCATATATCCCCTAAATGAAGGCCTATGGCTTTGGGGCATAAACAAGAGAATACAAAATCACTGGATTCACATGACTAAAACCGCCTATAACCGTCTTTTGTTTTCTGCACCTTTTGTTGTTTGGAATGTTATGGAGCAATTTGGAACCGGGGGTCTGTTTTTCGACTGCTGACTAAATGTCTGTTTTTCTTGTAACAGGGAGGCGGCATGAAGGGCTGGTTTGACTTGTCCCGGGTTGATGGCGGGCCCACGCTGTACAGCCATGCCAACCGGACGACGGTCACCGGGGACGTCACGACGGCCGCCCTCTTCCTGGCCGCCGGGACGCTCTTCATCGCCTTCCTCGTCATCTTCCCGGGGGTGCGCAAGGAGGTCTGTATCTCTATGCGGTTCTTCAATGGACAAACGAACACAAATAATAACGATAACTATCCTTTAAATTATCGCATTTATCTTGCTCTTTCCGCGGAAATATCTTTTGTAATGGGTATTTGTCCTGTTGCAGAGGTTCACGACATTCAGCAGCGTCACCTTCAGCTTGTTCGTCGGTACCGCAATACTCGGTAAGTACCGCATGCGCCGCGCTTGTGTGTGTGTGTGTGTGTGTGTGTGTGTGTGTGTGTGTGTGCGCGCGCTCGCGCCCTTACCTAATAACCTCTCGCGCTCTCCTCCCTGCCCGCGTGCCCTGTCCTGCAACCGCCTGCACGCCCTTCCCACATCCCCGCGCCGGTTGACTTTCTCTGACCCGGTCGACAAACCGCCGCGCGACGCGTCTCGCCGAGTGCCACACACGCCAGGCGCGGGCCGGGCCGTCCTCCGTACGCATGCGGGGCGGGGGCGGGACCGGGCGGGGCCCCTCCGCAAACATGTTAATGAGTTATGTCATCGGGGAGGGCCAGGACGCCTCACGCTGCGGCGACAGCTTCATACGCACTCCTCGTCGGCGGAGGCGGCGGTTTCTATGATAATTAGCGAGTAACTGACAACATACCAGCGGGCGATGGGACGCGCCTGGACCCGCCTGGGTCCAGCGCGGCTCCATAAAAGTGAGCACTGATGTTGAAAATGATGGGTCGCTGCCCCGCGGGGGGGCCGGCGGGGGTCACGGAGGTCGCGTGCCGACCCCCTCCGGACCTGGGCTGGAGGTTTCCACTGACATTTACACTATCTGTGTCGCGTCGGCTTGGCTGGGGGCTGACCGAACCGCATAGCGCGCTGCGCCGCGCTGGGCCCGGTCGCCAGGCGTCCTGCAGGGGCTGTGTAGGCTGTCCCGTCGGACACGGGTGGCGCGGGGCTGCCTGCGCGGCTTCTGCAGGCGTCCTGCAGGGGCGGGGTAGGCTGTCCCGTCACACACGGGGGGGGCGGGGCTGCCTGCGCGGCTTCCGCAGGCGTTCTGCAGGGGCGGGGAAGTTCGCCTTGTGGACGCCGGGCTGCTGGGACCCCAGGGATTGAGCAGCAGCCCGTGGTGCTATACTTATTCTACTCTCATCCGTTCCAGTAACGTGCCAAGGCTCCAGCTGGCACGTGGCGAAGAACCAAGTGACGGCGACCTACCGGGCCTTCTCCAAGGAGAGACTGCGCGCCGAAGTGGGCGCCTACATCGGCTTGCAACATGTCAACATCACGCTCCGGGCGCTGCCCGAGGTGAACCAGACCGAGGCTCAGGACATCGACTTCAACGAGCGCTTCTCCTGGGGCGGCGCGGGCGACATGCGGCAGGGCTACCGGGAGGGCTTGGTGCGTGGGCTGCCCTTCCCGCTCCTCACCGTGGCCGAGGCGCTGTCCCTCGGCCAGGAGGGCTTCTCATGGGGCGGCCAGTATCGACGCGCCGGCTACTACTGCGCCATCCTCCTCTGGTGAGTCACGGCCTTGTGGTGCTGCAGACGGGTGCGCTGCTGGTCCCCACCCGGTCAGGGACCCTGTCTGACTGACAGACTTCTCTCCCTTCCCCAGGGCTTCCTTCGCGGCGTGGTGTGTGACCAACCTGCTGCTGATCGTGGTGCCGCGGTACGGCGCGTACTGCCTGGCCGGGACGGGCAGCCTCATGCTGGTCGCAGACGCCGTGTACTGGAGCCTGCTCCCCCGGACGCAGCTCATGGTGCGCTTCGAGGGCGCGGAGCTCAACTTCAGTCTGGGCTGGTGCTTCTGGCTGGTGCTGGCGGCCGGCGCGCTCAGCGTCCTCTTTGGCCTCGTGATCGCCGTGTTCGACATGCTGTTCCCGCACCGCTTCTCCACCGTGCTCGAGGTGGACTACGACACGCCGTACGATCGACACATCATCATCGAAGAGTCCCGCGGCAAGCCGAGCCTCGAGCGCCCCTCCGCCTTCGGCTCCAGGATCCTGCGGAGGCTCTCGCGCCGCGACACGAACAGCAAGCAGCAGGAGGAGCAGCGGCAGCTCCAGCTGCAGTTGCAGCTGCGCCAGGGCCTGGACAACGACGCCTTCGAGCTGGACCCGCCCAAGTCACCGTGGAGGTACCCCTTCCAGCGTGAGCCCCGACAGCCACGGCTGCAGCCTCCCAGGGTAAGGTTCTAGCGCTAGATTTAGCTTCAACTGAATGGGCACTGGGAAGTCACTACGATGCATCCGCCATCGCCGCGTGCATGACCTTTGCCCTCTACACTGGCCCGGACCTGGAATTGTCTCTGCCTTGTTGTCCCAGGTGGCCGCGTTCAGGCGCACAGACTCCCAGGACTCGGCGTCCAGCACGGCGTCCAGTGTGCGCGTCTCGTTCAGCAACCTGCCGCCTCCACAGCGGCAGTCGTCGCTGCTTAGACAGCACCAGGAACAGAAACTTTTACAGCAGCAACAGCAGCAACTGCAGCAGCAGGCGCAACCTCAGCTGCAACAAGAAGCAGAGCAGCAGGAGATTAAAATCCCATCACATCCAGCTTTAAGGTAGGATATTATAAACGCACAATGTTTTCACTTCATACTTGCTGTGCGTTTTTAAAGAGATAAGCAATACTATTAACATTTGTTACAGGCGCAGTACTGCAGGGCTAGAAGACAGACGAGAAGTGGCAATGTGGTAATTGTTGTATTTAATTAGATAACTTTATTTATAACTCAAACTGTAATACATTGTGATCTAGATCATAGAAAAAATACTGTAAGCTATTTTAATTTGTGATTTGTGTGTGTTTTGATTAATGTAGATGAAAAGGGTTTATGAAGACCAACCAACTAAAATTTGATAGTTCTTTGCTTTTATAAATAGTAGTGTGTCTCCTTATGTAAGTATTGGACACATTTCGTATGATAGATTATCAACTTTTCATGAGCAAGTACAGTCTGTACTTGAAGAGGGGCTTTGCCCATGCCAGCTCTTTTATGCTCAATGTCCTGGTCTTTTCAAAAGAAGCTGTAGTTGTTTAAGTTTGACTACTTGAACTGCTAAGCTGTTGTTCAATTTATACAAAACACACTGCACCTGGAATTCCATGGATGTGCCAAACATTTATTCACTGTCCTGCATAGTGTATAACATAAATTGTTTATCTCTATGGTCATGTTGGAAACCAATTAGTGGAGTGAACTGCTAACAAATAAGCAACAAGACAGAACAATTGGTCAACAAAATATTAGTTTTGTTAAAAGTTACATTATTATTTGTGCCCGAGTTTCTCAGAATAGATATATGAGTCATAGTCATTAAAAGGCTGTTTCAAGAAGATAGTCTGTGAAGCGGGTGCCATTGTCTTGGGCATGCTTGTACCTGAACCCATAAAAAACAAATCTCAAAATAAACTAATGTACATGCAGTGAGCAGGGCAATGCCTCACTCTCACTGCCCAGTCAATTTTTTTTCTTCTTTTTTACTTCTATGAATTAGTTATACTGGCAGAAGTGGCAGTAAGATCAATTTGACTCAGTGAAGAAATTTTTATTTGTCTTTTATGCAAAGATGTAGAAAAGACCAAAATAGTGTAGCCTGATTGAGTGGGGACTAAGTTCTGTGATTGCCTTATTTTGTATCCCTCTGGTATCTCCCCAATCAGAGGACAAAATGATTATGGTTAATATAGGTAATTGTATGATGTTCTTACAGACAAAAGCTCATGTGTTTTTTTTCTCTTACAAGTATTTAACTGCTTACATGAAAGGGTAATAAACTGTGATGACCGTTTTTATTTTCCAGAATTCCTTATTTGAAAAAATTATTATGATCACAATTTTTAGGCAAAATATGAAAACACAGGATACTGAAAAGATTTCTCTATTTCAAGGAAGAGATAGAAAGTTAGGATTTGCCATGTCTTATTTAAGTGATTCAAGGTTCAACAATTTACAATGTGTCTACGTTCATATTGCGATTGTACATTATTATATTAATGTTTGTGGAAACCACAATTGATAAAATTATATCAAGAATGTTCAGCAATGGAAAAGTAGTCGATTTACAAATGCAAGTCAAGTAGAAGTTGTTGAAATAAATAAAATTTGTTGCAACTGATCCATATATTTCTCTATAATATTATTGACATTTGTTCTTCCAGCTGGATAATTACCCATCATCACTGGTCACTGATAACTCTCATAAATATGACATCGTTTGGTCTCTGCCGGCATTTCTCCAGCATGCCAGATACCATAATTTCAAGTAGTGGAAAATGAAGACAGACACAGATGTATTTTTGTGATTCTACATTGCTCTTATATTCGGTAAGTTTTGACTCAGTCTTGACGGGGCTGTAGGGCAAACACTCTAAGAGCAAGATCAAGGTGCTGACAATACAGAACCATTAATTAGTAAATGTGACTACTGTATCATTTTGAAAGAAGTATTCAAGTTTGTAGGAAGAATACAGCATATATGTAGGCCAATGGCAACACTTGCATTATCTAGTAAATACTTCATTGAAGAGCTTTATCACGTATATACATCTTCAATATTCTTCTTCGGTCCGCACTTGTTGCATGCCTTCTTGTTATACGGCCTCGTTTTATTTTGGCTGAGTGAAGTTCTAGATTGCTAGGATCATCTTGAGAAATTGTGGCTTCAGATGTAACAATACGAGATTCCTTGAAATTTACTTCTCCACAGCCTTCAACAAATAATTTCTCTAAGAACAAGCAGTTTAAAATTTGAATTTGTATTAATGTAGCACTAATCTTACCATGAGAAGTTTGAGGAAGAGCTGATGCCACTTCATTTGCTTCAGGAAGGGCACTGTCAGCAGATGCTGCAGTCATGTATGACACAACACCATCTGAGGTAACAATGCTTAATTGGGACATACCAATACACATTCCTTCAGGGAGTAATTTGTTAGCACCTTGAAACATTTGGCTTGCCCCTTGAATCGTACAGCTTTCAAGTTGAAGAATTATCGATGAGTTCACATCAATATTATTACTTCCAGCCACACCTCTATTTTCACTAAGGACTACATTACCGAAATTATCAACAGCTTGTTCGTGTAAGACGTAAGACCAAAGACATCAATCAACGAAAACAACACGAATTTTTGACGGAGCTAGAAGTGGTTCATAATAAGGAGTAGGGGAGAACTCAACAAGATTCGCTGGAACAAACAGTACAGCAGGGAGAAGTCGGAGCCTCACCGCCGTTCCCGACAGCTCAGGACCCCCTAGGACCCCGTAGCACCCCACAGCACCCCGCTAACTAAACGCAAGATCGTAGCTCTTTACATACGGTACTTCCCTCGCGGTCCGTCATTCGCCGTCTCCCGCTCACGATTTAAACATCGTGCCATCAGCGCCACCTATCGGAGATGGCACTAAGCTCTAATCGTAACTATGAAAAATTTTTCAAGCAGATACGAGTGCAGTCGACGGGAGAGATGTTGTGATTGTTATCGTTATCTGTTATTGTAACTGAGTTCAAATTTTAACTTTATCCTTGCACTTTCCGTACACCTGATCTCGTTAATTGGTGCATTAATAGATGTCACGTGAGGCCATCCATCGTATAATCGTGTAAATGCCCCAAGGTATGTTGGTTTTCTGCACATTCAAATGTAAACAAATTTGCATTATTATTTTACATGAGTATTATTTAAGTCTTCTCATTCAAAACAGATTATCAAAGCAACATGCATTCTCTCTCTGGATGGCATCAGATTCAACATGAAGGAAAAACATATGTCATCAGAACTATCTGCTACGTGGGTGTTGTTAAAATTGTTGCATCGGATTTTGTGAATGTCTGGATTACTGAGAGAAGTGATGATGAAATCCTAAAGCTCTTTAGAGAGCAAAATCCTGTGATGGAGTGCGATGATAGTAGTATCATTCACAAGATGATAAAAGATTGCTTGTCGGAAGGAAATGGAGAACGTTCTCAATCATCTTTTGAAATGGTTACGTTAGAAGACAAAATCGAATTTAAGTTCAAAACCACAATGGGTGGTCTAGCACTGAAGTTACACATTAATTTAAGGACCGACACACCCCAAACATTTTATAAGGAAGTGACTTTGCCTATTCTTCTGATAGCGGAAGAGCTGGTTGTACGACAAAACCTTCTTTGCCAATCCTTGGAGAAGAAAGACTTAGAAATAAGTCAGTACAAACTAGAAGGAGCAATTTTGGCACGTACTGTTGTTAAAACTCAACCTTTTTCAAAAGATGTTTTTTTGAGCAAATGCTACTCGCAAAATACATGTAAACCATCTCAAGGAATGGTAAATCCTGTAGGTGTCCTTAATGTACTGTCTCATTCTAGTTGTCCTTCAAGTAATGAAACAGCAGAAAGTCTTCCTGACCCTCCATCATGTAGTTCCCTACCAAACCCCAAAAGTAAACTCAAAGATTTAAAAAGTGGTGATTTTGATAGTGAAGTAAACTCTAAAAGTAAATGTGATGTTGATTCAGTGGCAGTAGACACTCCAAAAATACAGAGCAGTGCTAGTAAAGTTAATATTCCCAAGAAAAAGAAACCTAAGCTTTATCTGTGATGATGATCTTGAGATATATCATTGTAAGATTTTAATTTTTGGAGGTCAGTTTTTGGCATCTTTTAAATTTTAATAAGTACTGTAGTTGATATTTTATGTTCTTAACAATTAATTTTATTTTTAATATTTTTAAATTGTTAAATCTTTATAACTATTTGTGAGCAATGAGAAAATGTACATGAAGACAGTCTAATACACAATGATTAAGTAAAAATTTGATTTTTGTAGACCTTAAAAATACTTGTAAAACCCCTCTACAGAACTCATAATCTAGTAACATGTATGAGATTAAAAATTAAAACAATAAAGCCTAAAAAACATAATACTCTTCAAACATGCAATAACAAATCATAACTTACAATACAAGAAAAGAGTGGGAATGAACATGTTCAGCTGCTTTATGAAGGATTTAACTATCACACACATACAACACACAAAAATATCTACAATAAGTCTTCCATACTTTCCTGGTCAAATGTTTCTAAACTTAAGTTCAATTTTAACAATTAAGTACACATAATAGACCCATAGAGCAGCTTTAAAAAAAATAGTGCTGCATTGTACTGCAACTTATATCAAAATATTCTCAATCCCAAAATAGGTACTTCACTTTTCTTCGGTGTGTAATGTCTGAATATCTGAAGACAACGTCCTCTTCATAGAAAGATGTACAAATCTAGAAGTTGTGGGAATTTTGTGTAATAAGTAATAGGCACAGTAGAGATGAAGGTATGAAATAAATTGGAAGGAGCAAATTGTAGTTACTCACAATATGAAAATAAACACTAGCGCCATTGATGCAACTGTAACCCAATAAATTGCAGCAGGGTATACTTCCACAGTAGCATTGTAGACTTGGCTGTAAATAACAGTAGATACAAGAGGCACAGCACTGTCTGCCACTGTTAAGATAGCAAATATTTTCCCTGGAATAGGTGAACAAAATTGGAAATATTAAGGAAAAGATATTACCTTAACTCTATACACAGAGACAAAACTGGAAAAAATTTTTACCTCTCTCTTCAATGGAGACTACCTTTGAAGTCATTGACCGAAGAACAGGAGCCACAGTGGGACCAAGAGAAGAAACAGCGGCACCTAGTAGCAAGTCAATTAACTAAAGAACTAAAGTTGACATATTTTGTATTTTATTGACATAAAATCCTTGTGGCTTACCCAGATAAAAAATCCATGGTACTTCAGCTACAGCAAAAACAACTCTTGCAATTGCATGAGCTGGGGCTCCCATTAGAACAATAACAGAATCCTTAAGACCACATAGCTTTGTAAGTGATGGAGCTCCCAAAAATGTAACTGTCAAGAAATTTTAAAATACCCAAATAAATAGCCATTTACAATTGGATAATATGTAGTTTGGAAACCTATCCTACTTACCCACAACATAAAAAGCTGTCTGAAATGTGCGGAAATTACTATATTCAGATTGAGTCCAACCGAATTTCTTCTGAGTATATAAATAAGACATTTGACGCTCATCTAAAAATTTGATAAGATTGTAATTGTTTCCACTTAAAGAAAGTAGCGTAAGTTATGTTTCATTTTTAAGTCAACTTACTTCGTTGGAAAGTGTAAAGTCCCATTGATAATATTATTAAGACAAGGTATAGACGACCGTGGTTGACTCTAGGTCGTATAACGGCTCTAATGGATTCTGTGACATGCTTCCAATCAAAGAAATCAGAGCAGATATTAACTGCAACAGAAAGCAAATTAATTAATTAATTTACAAAATTATTAGACATATCAAAAGAATTTATGAGCCACATGTAACAGGGATGATTGAGACAATAAGATTGAATGTGACACTCACCTCCTTTCAGTGACCTTTGTGAATCTGCAGTTCGCCATTTAAGTCGAACACAACTGTAGAGAAGTGCACATGCCAAAATGCAAGTGCTTATGGCGAACATCCAGGTGTAAGACTTATTCACGACAGACGAGAACACGAAAGACCCTGAAAACCCACGAGATAGAGTTGAACTCATGTCCCATGTGTAACCGCGGGGCGGGGGACAGGTACGAGTCCCACACGTTCTACTTCATGAGGGTAGTTTTTGAGCCTCACCGAGCGCGATGCCGGTCGGCATGGAGGCGAGGTAGGTGCCGTCCAGGATGGCGATTCGCAGGGTGCGGTCCGCCGTGCTGGTGATGTCCGCCATGTAGCTGAAGGCTGCGGCGAAGATGGCGAGGTTGGTGCCCGTCAGCGCTGCGGGGAAGCTCGCCAAGCCCAGCACCATCTCCAAGCGCCACGTCGCTGCAGCAGAAGGAAAAGTCAGGTACGCGACGGCGATGCGACTGGACACACGGGCTACAGGAGGGCGAGGGCCTTACGCTGCATGGTCACCAGGGTGAACATGGCGAAGTAGTAGGTCTGCCCGGCCAGCCCCATCAGCAGGGGGATCTTGCGGCCGCGCCGGTCACTCCACGAGCCGAGGAACGGTGCGAGGAGGAAAGGGACCACGTTGGACACGATTCCGTTGTACTGGTGGAAGGATGACACTTCAACCTGCAACGGGAGGAACAATTACCACGCACCTGGGTGGTTTTACATTTTGAGAACTTTGATGATGTCGACGTCCTGTCGTTCCGCACCTGAACGCGGTTCTGTTCCTCCTTGAAGGTGGGGTCCTGGATGTGGCTACAAATGTGGTCCGAGTAGTTGAGGTGCACGCGGCAGGCGCGGTCCACGTAAAACGACTGCTCCACCACGGACGTGAACATGAAGGCGAACATGTAGGCGAAGAGGACGGGCTCGACGGAAACGGAGCGCAGGCCGCGCACCAGCCAGCACCCGCCATGGCGCCGGTTCTCCTTCGCGACGCCCGAGTCGTCATCTGGCGTCGGCGCGTCCGTCCTCGGGGGTCCAGCCCACGGCTGGTCCTGCCGCCCGAGAGGCTCGGCCTGGAACAAGCGAGGCGCCCGGTGACAACCACGGGACACTTGCCGGGGCCAGGGTAGGTAGGCGACCCGCGGACTCCAGCGCGCAGCGGGACTGCATTCGCAGGCCGGCGGGCGCTCGGTGGTGGAGGATGCGCGCGCGCGCACACACACACGCGCGCGCCGAAGTCCTCACCATCCCAATCCAGCGCTGGCCCCGCGAAGAAGAGAAGTGAGGTTGACGAGTAGAGTCAGGGCGATAGCACCGGGCGCACTCCTCTCGACCCGGCTGGGACCGCCACTCTGAAGGCGCTCTCCGCTTCGATATCTGTCAAGCCTCTCTAGAACGCGCGCCCGCTCTCCCTCCCCCCCTCCCCCCCCCCACTTTTCCCTTCCCGCGAGTCAAATGTCGCCGACGGCATGAATCTGTCCTCGGCAATGTCTTCTTGATTCGCCCGAACGAGTTTGCACCATATGCGCCCGGCCTGGCCTGGATCCTGCCGATGCGAACGCCCACGCACAAACGCCCGGTTACGTATTTGTTTATTTTATTTACAGATAGGAAAAGAAACAAGTTGCGTCACATCGAGTGTCTGGTCTTTATCACTTCATCAGCTGGTGATAGAGTTGGGTCCGGCCATGTCATTGGGGTAAACAATTATGTTCAGAGGCATGTCCTTGGTAGGTTTGAATTCGAAAAGTAATAAGCTGCAACAGATAAGAGCTTGGCTGTCTGTCGGCACAGATCTGTATCAACGGTTTATGACTCACGGTTTGAATAAGGTGCTATATCAAATGAGCGCGCTGTAATCACGGCTGTTTATGGGTTCTGTCGTTCTGTGGGTGCTTTTACTTACCCCACATCTTAAGGACAGTCCAGAAAGTACGCCCGCTTTTCTCAGATTCATTCCGGCAAGTTTCGGGGGCTTCGGGCGCCTGCGGGGCTCAGGGTAGGCCAACCCGCAATACCCGCATGTACTGCACGTAAGATATTGCCTACCCACCAGGCGCTATGAGAGCTGACAGAGGCTGAAGCTAAGCTTCGCGGGTCCGCAACCGCGAATGATGCGCATGTTTTCTGGATGATCGTATCTTGTGAGGAACTAAAGGCAAAAAGTGTGCTCTCGGATTCGGGTCAGAACAGATGAATCTGTTGTCTTAGCTCAGCAGCAACGCATTCAAGGGGCAATAAAACAACTTTTTTCCCCACCAGCACTATTGGCATTTGACGTATCATACAGGCTAACCTTGGAAGAAAGTTTGCTCTTGTTATCTCTACCGCCACCCAGCTGTGGTTTGCCCCGCAGCCTCCCACCTGCCCTTATTTCTTCCGCGCCCCGAAAAGTCTTGCACTCTACACGTGCCGATAGCAAGACTTGGGAAAACGCTTCTTAAAGCCGTAAAGACGCAGAGAACGGCGCTCACTAACAAGGATCACCTAGTCGGCGGGAGATGGGAGGGAAGAGGAAGAGGGAGGCCGGGGAAGGGGAAGGGGCGAGGAGGGGAAGGGGGGGGGGCATGGGGCAGTGACCCCGAGCGGCGTCTGCTGGGCGTCTGCTGGAAGCTCTGGAGTGGCGTGCTCACCTGGGCTCGGCGCCACGAGGGCAAGCAGAGCTCCGCCAGCGAGGTCTACTACTGCTGCTGCACATCGTCCACGTCCGTCTTGCTTGTGGAGCTCGTCTACTACTTTAGGTTTGTCGGTTCTTCGTGATATTCGCTTCTAACACTTCCAGATCTGTGGACAAGACGGAAATACTGCTGCAGCCGAATACAATAAGTCGTCTGTTGATGTGGAGTCGAGTCAAGCCGGGCTCGGCACGGCACGGCACGTCCAGGCCAGGAAGGAACTGCCTGGGTTTGGCGTTTGACATGAGCGTCATTTCGAGTCCCCGTTCTAGACCCCATCCGCCGAGGGAATTCAATCTGCGAAGGAGTCTAAGCAATATGCATGGTGTCTTGAGATGGAGTCAGAGGAGACAAAGAATACTTCTGGCTTCGTGGGCAGGCACCTTATGAACCAAATGTTAAACCTTTAACCTCCTCTGCTGAACACTTCCTAGTGTCGGTGTACACGCCGGTGCGACCGGGTTCACCTAATCACAGGGGTGATTATTAAAGTTGAACATTTGATTAGTGAGGCCGAGCCCCGCGCTGTTCAATGGCACCCTTTGCTGCCCCGCCCACGGTGTCCGTGTTCAACAGGTGTCTTGTGCCCGCAGCTCGGTGCCCGGGTGCAGCCGACTGCAGCCTCTGCCGAGTTACCAGTTAGCAACGCCGGCAAACTGCTGGGAGGCGGTCAACGACGCCTCGCCCCGCGGAGGAGCGCCCGGGAGAGAGGGGGAAGGCTGTCCGCCCGTCTGTCGCGCGGCGCCCACGGCGCAGTGTCCGCCCGCCCGGATATGATGATGTCGCAGAACGTCATTTTTATTCTATCGTTGGCGGTACTGGCGCTACTGAGACCTTCCGGTGAGTACGCGCCTCGAGGGGGAATGCCAGAGCGCCCGCCCGACGAGGAGGAGGAGCCTCTGCCGTGTGTCACCCTGGCGTCATCTCCGTCTCGCGTTCACAGGCGCAGCCGATGAGCCGGAATGGCAGAACTGGGAGAGCGACCTGACTGACTCGATGGACATCGGCCCCACGCTCGAGGGGTACCGGCGGGTCGGCCTGCGCTGCGCCGCGGACCACATGCTGGTCGAGGTGGAGATGGAGGACGACTTTGACGGCGTGCTCTACACCCGGGGGGCCTTCCACAGCCAGGAGAAGCCGTGCTTCCTTGACGCGCGCGGCGGCCGCAACTTCACCCTCAGCCTGCCCTTCACGCGGTGCAACACAAAGAATGTAGGTCCGAGCAGAGGTTGAGAACTACAAAGGATTTCGATGCAACTCACACTACACCAATTAAACTTGCAGGAAAACAACCTGTACTCGAATACAATTGTGATTCAGTATGATGATGAGCTGATAATGCCTGGGGATGCTGCCTTCACATTGGAGTGTGATTTCACTAAGCCCAAGGACTACAAAGTTGCCACGGATTTAAAGTCAGAGAGGTATAGTTTAATCCCAATGCCATCTGTGAACCATAAGCAGTATTTCCTGTCAATTTTATAAACAATCCGTAACTATTTTACAGAATTCATTCCTCAAGGATTATACTGGATGACGCTGACCCTGCTGCAGACGGAAAACCAAAATCAGAGCGGATGACAGCAATTAGTGACTCAGATACTGTCAGTTTTACACCAAACAGAGAGACAAAAGTATTAAAGGATGAACTATAGAATATCGTTGTATACAGAAATAATAGCTTCAATTGAGAACTGTCATGCTCGAGGAGTTCATAATGCGCTGCTCTAACAAAACAGTGCTGACTTAAAAATAATAAGGATGTGTAAGATAATAAGTTGTTAAAAAACGTTGATAAAAAGTGCAGTTGAATTAATTTTTTTTGGACAGTTTATAGGGTCAAAACCAAGTCTAAATGAAACTTACATAATAACAGCTAGCTCAAACGCACACACAACTACACATGCCTGTAGGTTAGAGGAGCCCTATGAACCACCTTTATGGGTTACTTAGCAGGGCGAACGAGCGTGACAAGTAGGACTTACCTCTTGTAAGCTCATACTGAGAGACAGGCATCACAATTCAAGGACACAAATACTTGCTTGCATGTGACATGTTAACATGTTACGTAAAATCATAATGAGAAACGAAAATCTAGAACTAGAACAAAAATAAAGATGGTCACACAGCACACGCTCAAGGCAGGAGACTTTCGTATTTACTTGTTTTCCCTGTCAGAATGCCAACTTTCTCGATATTCTGTTCATTCCCTTTTCGGTAAGCGCCGGCAAACGAGAAATTTTAGACAAAATTCATTTTCAGAAAAAGCTTTAAAACTGAATAAGCAAGAAATACTGTTCCTAGACAATCACATATGTCACAGATATTTTTAATAATGAAGTGTGACTGTGGTTGACTATCCTGGAGATGTCTGCTACGGTCGCTTAACCTGTCTGGCCGTAGACCGTCAAAATAGAAAAAAAAGTCTTCTTAATTTAAACTTGGATGAGAATTAAAAGGGTGACATACCTGGAAACGCTGCCTGCAGCCTTCGCAATTAGCTTAATTAGCTTTGGACGTTTTACAGGTACGTTGAAACACTTCTTTTGCTTTTATGGAAATGAAAATGAGTCATTAACTTGGAATTATGCATCCTTAGTTAAATTCTTTCTTCTTTTCCTGTGATTGTATGTTTAGCCACCTGTAGAGAAATCTACTCTCTTAAAGATGGTTTCCAGAAGACTGCTGATTCTGTATGGAAGTCAAACAGGAACAGCACAAGATGTGTCTGAAAGAATATGGCGAGAAGCCAAACGGTATAGTTGACACAATGCATTTTGATATTTTACTGTCAAGCTTTGTCAATTGTTTCATTGCATTACATTTGCTATTTTCCATTTAGATACCACCTAACAGGTCCTGTACAAGCCATGGATGACTACTCTATTTCTCAATTAATTCAAGAACAGTACGTCGTCTTTGTGTGTTCAACCACAGGCCAGGGTGAAGAGCCTGATAATATGAAAATATTCTGGAAATTTCTTTTAAGGAAAGGTCTACCATCAAACTCTCTAAGATCCATAAAGTAGGTGTTGCTTTCTCCAAACTCCTTTTTAAAAGCTTTTACTGAAAGTTGTCTCAAAACTATTTTTTGCTTTGGTTGTAAATTAGGTTTGCCGTTTTGGGTCTGGGTGATTCTTCCTACGCCAAGTTCAACTATGCTGCTAAAAAATTGTACAGGCGTCTTTTGAACTTAGGTGCCATTCCTATGGCCTCTCTGGGTTTAGCTGATGACCAGCATGATCTGGGTGCTGATGCTGTAGTTGATCCTTGGATTGCACAGCTTTGGGAGACTTTACTTGTAGAACTACCCATACCTCAGGGGCTTCCAATTTCTTCTGACATAAAAATTTCTCCAAGGTACTCATATGTACAATCTTTGTCAAAAATATATCTAGTGAAAAACACACACATTTAATCTAATATTTTTTATAGATGGAACATCACAATAGAGAATACAGGTTTCTTACCAGCACTCCCTCCGATTTCACAAAAAAATCGTTCTTTTCCAGTTGTTGTAAAAGAGAATATTCGCACTACTAAACCTGACCATTTCCAAGTAGGTTTTGTACTTGTCAATTGTTCGGTATTATTGTACCACTGAAGACTACAGGTAGTTTGATCTCTCCTAGGATGTACGACTGATTTCATTGAGTAATCTTCCTGAAGGGATTACATATACTCCTGGGGATGTTTTATTGGTTCGACCCCAGAATCTACCAGAAAATGTGGAAACACTGATGGCTCTACTGACAGGAGAAGATGCTCAAAGTGCAGGTTCAAAGTTGACACCTGAGACAGTTTTTAAAATCACCCAAATTGATGAGGATATGCCTGTTCCAGAACCCCTCCAATCCCCTCAAAGCCTAATTAATCTTGCCACGTACTATTGGGACTTGAATGTCAGTAACTATACTTCAAAAGTTCATCTTCAATTTTACTGTTGATGAGACATTTTTTGTGTTTGGTAATCTAGAATTAAAATTTATTCGTACACTCTCTTACAGGCTATACCTCGTCGTTTCATGTTGCAAATATTGGCTGAGGTAACTCCTAATGACCTTGAAAAAGAAAAGCTTTTAGAGATGGCCAGTAGTGAAGGCCAAGAAATGATGTATGACTATCTAAATCGTCCACGCCGAACCATACTTGAGTTGTTGGCTGATTTTCCACATGCTGTATCAAACATTCCTTACCAACTCTTATTTGAACTATTTTCACCTATTAGGCCACGTTCCTTTTCAATTGCCTCATCTCCCACAGTAAGTGTTCATCAGTATGCCTTCAGCTCAATTTCATAGTAATGAAAAAGTAATCTAATGTACTTTTATATCTTTTAAATGTACAGGCACACAAGCAAGAGTTGCATATTCTTGTTGCTGTTGTTAAGTACAAAACTAAACTAATGAAACCAAGATTAGGTTTGTGTTCCAATTGGCTTGCTTCACTGAAGCCAAATAACTTAATATATGTTTGGCTCCAGAAGGGCTCTCTCCGTTTCCCCATCAATGAGGTAACATTGATGTTAATTTAACAAATGATGCCCTTTTGTTGAAGAATCTGATTTGTCATTAAACCTGTTATAGGATATTCCAATTGTGATGGTAGGACCAGGAACTGGAGTTGCTCCATTCCGAAGCTACATACAGACACGCCATGTGGAGGGTACTGCTAATGCAAACAGTCTACATCTTTACTTCGGATGTAGAAATAGAGAAGGAGATTTTCATTTTTCCGATGAGTGGTTATCTCTGCAGGAAAATGGGGAACTCAGTTTCAGTTGTGCCTTTTCCCGAGATCAGGAAGAAAAAATGTGAGAAAAGCTGGAAAAGTAACTTCACAGTAACTGTTAAATTTCAAATTTTATATAAAAGACCATTAATTACAGGTACGTGCAGCATATCATTTTGAGGCATCAAGATATTATCTGGAAAATCTTGAAATCCGGGGGATATGTTTTTGTGGCTGGAAATTCAAACAATATGCCAACCAGTGTACGAGAGGCCATAAGGGATTCCTTAGTATCAGTTGGAGGATTTAACATAGATGCAGCAACTGATTTTCTTGATAAAATGGAGAGAGAAGGTAAATATCAAACAGAGACATGGAGTTAATTTTTTTAATATTTTGTATGAACTAAATTCAAAGTAAATTTTATTCTTAAAAAAAGAATGCAAGATTTATTGTTGTAGATCCTCAAAACTGTTCCTAAGTATCAATCAGAGGAAAATCCATATACTTTCAGTATTCCTGCATCATGTTTCCTATCATAGGTATCCTTGTCGTCACAAGCAAAAGCTAAAAGGTATTGACTCGGATGCCAAGCAACAGTGAATGTAGCGGCCTCTACTGGTATGTCACAAACCTGCAATAGAAAGTTACCATTCATACTCTAGGGCACATACAGCACATATAACATGACAACGTTTTAAGAACTTTAGGCTTGTTAAACACATACCTTAAGACCTGTTTCAACCTCACCAATATCAATCAATAAGTCCTCCGATGCTGAAGCAAGCAGTTTTCCATCATGGCTAAATGTTATTGTTCTCACAGGCCAATCCAACCTGTAAATTAAGTTCATAAATCAATTGGTTCTTTGATGCAGGAGACAGCACACTAAATCTAGCTTCAAGCTCCAATGACAGTATTACCTAGAGAACGTTCTTAAACAAGCAAGTTCTTCAACATCCCACAAAGACACTAATGTGTCAGCAGAGCCTGTGGCAAAATATCTTCCTGTGGGGTCAAATTCAATGCATATACAAGTTCCAGGATGAGCTTTCAATACATGCTGTAATTCTAATTCGGGGTAGCTGAAACAGAAGAAAAATTTTGATTTAAACCTTGCAAACTAAAAGGCATCTTTTATGGCAATCATAAATAACTTACCCTAATATATAAATACATCCTTGACCATTAGTTAAGAAAAACAGGTCACTTGTTTTATTCCAGGATATTTCGTTGACTTCAAAGTCGAATTGCTGTTCGGATTTTACTTTGTGAGTACGAGCATCAATAAATGTTACCAAGTCTTCCTTGTTACCAACAGCTATTGTTTGACCATCAGGTGCCCAAGTTATATTGATATTCTCTCCTGCTCAAAGAAAAAAAATGTTCAAATGAGATTAAGAAATGCCGAACAAGACAGCATAGGAAACAGAGCAGAAGGGTCGGCTTAAAACTAGTAGATACGATACTGCACCTTTGGTGTTGATGGTTGCAGCACACTTCTGGGTTCTGGCATCCCAAATTCTGGCACTTTTATCTCCACTGGCAGTAGCAAGAAGGTCGGGATTTGAAGCATGCCAACAAAGTTGATCAACACTCCCACTATGGCCACGGAATGTGAAATCCTTACCCTAAAAATAATAAAACAATAATAGCAGTTCGTGACAAACATCCCGTAGAACTTCACGGTAAATGGAGTAAACAATATCTTCATGAGACCATATGGCAGAATCAACTTCTGAGGAGATTAATAACTGATAACACAGTGAAAAAACTTACTAAATTACAAATCAAAGAACTTTAACCGGCTTACCAGTCGCTCCCTGTCGAAAGTAAAGATGGACACTGTTTTGTCAAAGGAACCTGAGGCGAGTCTTCGCCCATCGCAGCTCCATCCGACCGAATGAACTTTCGCGGAATGTGCCTGGTACTCCTTTACTTTACTGTGGGATTTAAAATGCTGACGAAGCCGTTCAATTTCACTTCCAAACGAACTCATCTTGTTTAATTTTGTAAGGTTAAGTTCTTCGGAGGTTTGTTTTGACTGGAACCGCTTTCACACGGCGACCACCAGATCGCGCTGCAGCGAGTGGATATTTGCACGAGGTGGGTCGGTCAAATAACCACCATTGAGTTATTTGCACGACTCGTTACGTTAGCGAAGCGCGGTAAAGTTAACTGCGTTAACCTCTATTTACATTTCACCACTTACACAAACAACCCTCAAAAGTTTGTAAACGGGCTGTTCAATGTAACTGACACTTTTTTGGCCAGTTATCTCGTTAACAGTTAGTGACAGTCGTCCAAACACTCTGAATTGTCACAGGAGAATATGGATTCCATTTTACAATTTGCTGTTGACTTGTGTCTGGAAAGTGACAGTGATGATGTAGAATGTGAACCCTAAAGAAGACCTAGATTTATTCGCGACCGGGAGAATCGCTTTGAAGACCTTGAGGAAGTTGATCTTGTTAGAAGTTTCAGAATGTCGAAAATATGTGTTGGAACTTACTGAACATAAACTAGAGTTTCTGGGGGAAAAGTGAGTAGTGATTTCCTATTCTAATTGTTATTTATTACAGACCGTAATAAGTCAGTTGTGTACTTTGGAATTACAGGAATTTCTGTATCTCCTGTAAACCAGCTCCTTCAAGCCCTGAGATACAGTACTATGCCACAGGTTGCAATCAAATAGCTGCTGGAAACTTCAGTGGGTGGAGTGGGTGAGTCCCCATCATTCATCGAGTATCACGTGCAATAGCAGAACTTTATCGGCAGTTAATTTATTTTCCAAGAATTGAACTAGAAAAGCAGGAGACTGTTGATGCCTTTCATGCTATTGCAAGATTTCCTCAAGTTATTTGTGCTATTTATTGCACTCACATAGAAATCCGCTCACCTGGGGTGAGGATGCTGAGTACTAGAGATGTTGAAAGCGTTACTTTTCATTTAAGTATCAGGCAATATGCAACAACAACCTTGGGTTTATGGACTTAGTTGCTCGTTGGCCTGGCAGTGTATATGATGTGACAATTCTTAATAACAGTAGGCAGAAAGGAAACACTTTCACTCAATGTGCTGGCTGCAGGTGGTATACGAACTTGTCACCTTGTGGTCCATACAGGCGGGCTCGATAGCCCCTGAGGCCGAGGCCCAACTATGAGGTCAAAATTATGTCAGTTTGATGTATTCCTGACTAATTTCTGTTACTTGTGGTAACATTCAGAAAATTCTCTCAAAAATACTATTGAACCCGAAGTGAAAAGTTCATTTTTGAAATCGAAACCAGATATTACATTTGAGAGTGGTAAATTGCATGTCAGTAAGTGTGTGTTCTGAGATGAAAGTGGAAACATTTTAGGTGTTACACTGCACTGCGAACAACACTCATTCTTGATATCACCAACCAGGTGCAGGTGGGATGGTAAAGAACAAGTAAAAGATGGTATGATTTTATTTACCTTATTTGTTTTACTGAATGTACAAAAACATGTTCATATTCACTAAATTATAAAATCTTTGAAGAATGTGAAATATGTACAATGTAGTCCTAGTCGAGCCCTAGTCCTAAGGAGACACACAAAAACTATTTGTGGCTTTCATCAACTTCTAAACAAATTTACAAATGGAAAGAGACAAAGTTTTTTTGCCACGTTTCTAGATGCAGGTTCTCTGATATTTTCCCAGAGTACTAAATATTTGTTCAATATTTTTTTTGTCAGTCTTTGGCTAACTTGTCCACACACCTGCTGTTCAACCGGAAGCAAAGGAGGGAAAGATGGTGGAAACTGGAGCTACTCATTTTGTAGCATTCCAAAGCCAGCCCATTATCTGAGTGGTAGGTCACCCAACCCTCAGTTGTTTCCATGCGTCATTATTGTTGTCATTGAAATACTCAGTGCATCCCTCAGTCCACGGTGAGCTTCCGGAAGGAGCCCTCGACACCGAAGTCGTCCTGCCTCGGCTTGCCGCCCACCCGCTTGGTCTCGTCGGCCGCCAGCCGCTTCTGTCGCGCGTTGAACCAAGGCATGTTGCTGTGGATAATGAGGTGCCAGTCGTCTGGAACGGCAATGGACGTGGATTAGAGGCTGTCGCGTCGTTTGTATGGAGAAGAATAGGCTGAACATCTCTCTTACCGCACATCTGAGCGAGGGTCTTGCCGGACTGACCGCCGTAGTCCGAAGGCAGGCACGCTTTGTGGACGCATTTCTCGAAGCTCTCGTTGTTCTCGTGGACAATAATCTGAAAAGCGTTTATTATTTAATCTGAACCCTAAGCATAAGATTATAGCATCTTGATAAATGGTAATAATAAAGCACTGACTCGTTCTCCCAACTTGTCCTTGAGGAAGGGTCGGACCATGGCGATGACGGTCTTGATGATGGCCGGTGCGTTGAGCAGGTGCACGACCTTGTAGTGCAGCGGCACCGAGCCCTGTGTCACTTCGATGAGTTGCTTGAACATGCTGAGATTGGCGACAAACGAATTGCTGAGGGACACGCTGTAATGTTCCAGGTCGACGCAGATCTCGGCGTCTACAGGGTGGCCTTCCGAGGCCAGGAACAGCTCCACCATGTGGCACGAAAGCTTGAAGTACACGCCCCAGTCCATCTTGGAGGCGTCCTCGCCCAGCTCCTTGGTGAAGCGTGACATGACCATCCTCGTGCCCTGCGGCGTCACCATGGGCAGCACGCCGGACTTGCTGCAAGCACATCAGGCACGGTGAGTGAGTCTACATATTGTGTAAAAGTAACGACAGCGAGCCGAGCGCGGCCCAGCGGCCCACCCTACTCACATGAGGACGAAAAGCTGCTCGACGACGGGCGATGGCTGCTGCGTGAATAGGTCCGGGTTGCGGGCGCGTGACGTGCAGTACTTCTCGAGGTACTCCTTGGCGCGCTGGAGCGAGTTCTTGCCGCCGACGAGGAAGCGGATGAGCCACGGGTCCCAGTCAGCTGCAACACGAACGCACTGATCGTAATCTGTCCCTTCGTTTGCGCCAAGAAAAAGTATAATCGTATCTACACTATTAAAACCTTGCGAAGCGAAATTCCAAACCCTTCGCATTTACTGAGGGGAACCTACGGGAAGTTTCCCTATCTTTTTGAACAGCAAGTCAGCAACCCTCCCTGTTTTTAAGAGAGGGGGGAGGGGGGTTACAGAAAAGAAAGTTTCAAAAATTCTTTGCGACCCTCAGCTTGCAAAGAGGAGAAACACAACGTTTTAGCGCAGGCAGCGCAGGCAGCGCAGCAGCTCATTTCTATTCTTTTCTCTTCTGGTCCCCGCCTCTGAAACGTAAGCGGACGTCGACGTGAGCGTGTTTGGCACATTCAATATCGTCCCCAGCAGCGTGGCCCGAGGCCTGGCGTGTCCGAGGGACGTGCTCTGTCTCGCGTCCGGAGGGGGGATGG